ACAAGGCAATGCTCTGATGGGGGCCATGCTGCAGGGGCGCCAAAATTAGTGTCACACAGGGCACTGCTGAATTTTGAGAGCCCAAAGTCTACCACTGCTGTCGTTCTGGCCTGGCTCCATAGTTTGAGTAACTTGATGCTCAGGTAAAGTCTGAATTTCTTTTGCACAGCCTAAACCCAGTGGCTCCCCAGTCTGCTTGCTTGCCTGCCTGCAACTCTCCATATCATTGGCCAACTGCCCTCCTCCTTCTTCCGGTACTGACTGGACCTCCTGCCTTGTCTTCGCCTGCTCCATCTCCACCCCACCAGCCCTGGTGCACCATCCAGGCAGTTCCATCTCCCACAGCATTCTATAAGGAGCAGGAAGCAAGTGCAACTCAGCACAACTGATGCAGTGGATCTAGCACACAGACTTGTTTCAGGATACACAGAAGACCCTTAGAATGGTGCAGATTGTCTCTGGTCCTCATTCCTCACAATCCTCTCCATTCCTGTATCAACGGGCTCTAAATCACATCTGGTGATAATAGCTCAGGCCTGTGTGATTGGTTTGACCCTGGCTGCTGAAGTGACCCATTGTGACATTGTTCTAGTGAAGCAGAATTTGTGCTCAATGACAGGTTCTTATTACATACAGGGATACATCACACATTTTAAAATCTACACACAAGCCAAATGTTTGTGTTTACGCAACCTGGACCCCTCCTGATTATCTACATGTACGATGAAGACTTTTACAAGAGCAAGTATTATTCCCAGCAGGCTGCTGCTCCCGCCTCAGCAGTGCCTATGCTGGCTTGGTCATGTCTGCAGAATGGAAGAGGGCAGGATCCCCAAGGACATGATCTACAGGGATCTGGCTTCAGGCACCAGGCCCATCGGCAGATCAGTTCTGCGTTACAAAGAGACCTACAAACGTGGCATGCAGACAACCACAATACCCGGAGACTGACAATCAGGTTGTGCATCCATAGCAGTGAGCAGAGGAGGACGACCACAGGGAGGAGCCCAGAGAGAAGAAACGCCCTGGTGCATCTGCAGCAGCACAACTGGACACCTTCACCTGCCCCAGCTGCAACAAAACAGGTCTCTCCCATATCAGTCTCTACAGCCACAGAAGTCGCTGTCACCTTCTGACAGTTTGACTTCACCCCCAAAGGCACACTCCTCCACTGTCTCCCAAGACAGACAGAGGCCATTGCCATATACTCTAATCTGTCACAACCAGTTAAGTTCAATGGGAATACCACACTATTCTGTGGAGAGATGTAGCTGTTACAACCACCAGCTTGACCCAATATTAGCAAAGCAAGCAGCATCCTGCATTGGCAAGTGGGGACAAGTCTGCCTGCTAAGCTGTCTGTCATTTGCAATTGTGTTATGAAGCACAAAAGGTTGTGCTGATGTAACTGACTCCTTGGTGGATAGCATGCTTTTAAAAGGATGTGTCATTCTGCCAAATTCTGCATGACATAGCAGCCTTGGACATGTCACTACGAAGTCACTGGGGATGCTGGCTGATGCTGAAGGAATCCATGGAGCAACCTTATTCCGAGGCAGCAAACGAAGAGAGCCTATACTTCAGGGGTGGGGAACAACTCTGGTCTGGCATGCTGGATCAAAAAGTGCCCACCACTTATGGACCACTCCTTATAGACTGTCGTGTACACCCACCCGTCAATCACCTGATGACTGCTGGAAAGCTGCAGAGCTCGCATTCAAATAGTGCTGAATGCAATCCCCATCATAAAGGAGCTAATGGGAGTGTAGTCATAGCCTGGAGCTCCTGATTGTTCATTTTGAAGTGGTTTTGTTTAAATTAAGCGTTGAATGCAAGCCCCGTAGCAAGGATTCAGACATCTTATCAAATCCAGCTTCCTGAGATTCTTCAACTGGAGATGCCAGGATTGAGTTGGGGGCCTTAAACTCAAAGGGCTTTATTTAAAAATATTTATTTCCCAACCCCCAAGGAGATAATAACAGTAACCCCCCCACAACCTCCCCATGACAATATAAAACAATAGATGGCACAGCAGCTAAAATATTTCAGTCTATCTGGATTTTCATGGCATGGACCCTGAGAAAGAAATGGAACATTATTTCACAGTTCTCCCCAGCCTTGATGTGGTCAGTGCAGCCTTGCAAGGCTTAGGGCTGATTCACACGTGCACGTTCATCATTTGAGGACATCTTGCTCCGTGACCCAGGAGGCTCCTTTATACCTGGTCAGACTATTTGTTCCTCTAGTATTGTCTATTCTGACTGGCAATAGCTCTCCAGGGTCACAGTCAAGAGTTTTCAAATAATTAAACACATCCCTTTAAAAGCCACAAAATGACAGGACTTTGTTGCCAGGGCAGGGATTGGCCTTGGTGCTTTTGCCACATTTCTTTCTAAAGGACACCCATACAGTTAAGGAGCACGAAGTCTCAACTGGTAAATAAATGAAAACAAAAGAGCAAACCAGGCAATTGCTTGTTGCAGGATACTTGCTCCTGGTCTCTGCATTGCCACGGGCATCGTGGACACTCGCGCGCCCGGCGGCGGGGAGTCTGCCTCGCGCCAAGCCGAAGCAGCATTCTGGGGCTTCGCAACAGAACTGCTGCAAGGAGGAAAGATGGTCGGCTCCTTTGTAACAAAGGAGTAGCTTCTGCACAAATGAGGAAGCCCTCCCCAAAATAACATGGGAAGGGGAAGCCCGCGCCTTTCTTTTCCCCCTGCCCTCGCCGCCGAGGCTCCATCGGACTGATCTCTCTGCCCCGCGGAGGGGAAGGGGCGGCCAGGCTCCCGCTCTCGGCTCCCTCCGGCGGGGGCGCCCCGTCGCGCCTCTGCAAAAAGGCCCCGGGACCACAGCCCCCCCCCGCCCCCTTAGATGGGCTTAAATTAACTAATTGCCCGCCTGCAAACCTTACTGGTAAATTTGCTCTAAACCCTGGAAGCCGTTCTTAATTTTAAAATGTGGAGTTTGCTGTGATTCCTGGGAGATAAAGTAAACAGGTGCTGTCAGTGTGACATTTGAGTATAAAAAAGAATTACCATTGAAAACCCAGTATGACAGATCAGACTCTGGGGTGAAACGTGCACGTCCCATGACTGAGCCAAGGTCAATGCTGCTGCATCCCGAATCCCAGATGTACAGTCGGAGGGGAAGAGTCTTCCTCCCAGCTCAAAGGCACTCCACATATTTCTGATTGAGAGCTAAGCACTGGTTAACCAACCTTGCTTGAAACTCCTCCATTTTTAGCAAAGTAGCAGGTTCCGAAATGTTGGCCAGGGAGGGGCTTGGGATGCTGGGGAAAGAGGCCGAGCAGCCCCTGGAGGGCCAGGGAGGGAGCCAGGTTAGACTTGGGGGTCATGTGTGGAAGCCGGCAGCCAAACGTGCGAGGTCTCTGCTGGGATTTAGGCTTCAATCCTATATTTACCTGGGAGAAAGTCCTGCTGAACTCTATAGGGCTTACTACTCATGAAAAAGGACGGCTTTCTTGCAGGCATCTCAGCTCCCCATATGACTTACCTGCCAGAAAGGCAGAGGGCACATTCCCATCACCCCCCCCCCGATCTTTTCATGGGTCCTACACGTTTCCACCCCGTTTGTGTATGTTGGTGTACACACCAGGGAGGTGTTGACCACAGTGATGTTTTTTCACACCTTTGTTCGAGACAAACAGCTTAAGGATACAGATTGATGTGAAGCTGGTGTGAGAAGCAACTCATCCAACAGTAATATCTTATAACAAGGTGTGTATGTATTTTGGATAACGGTCATGTGAACACAAAAACTCCACACTGTACATTAACATTACAGTGTACATTAACCAGGAATGTGAACACAGCCATATAGGAGCTGGACAAAATGAATAATTTGTTCTTAGGGTATTATAGCATCCTAAATGAAAACAACAACATTAATAGCCTATAGAAATTATTAATCCGAATAATAAATTATTAGCTAGGACGGGGATAATGATCCTTGGAAGTCAGGGTGAGAATTGTGCTGAAGAAAAAAGACAAGTGCAGGGAGAAGGCTCAACACGAGTTCTACTCAGAGTAGGCTCCTTTAAGTGAATGCGGCACAACCGGTCGCTGTGTCTGGCTGCTAAGCAGGCTGGTGGTTGGAGCCCACCCGGGGATTCCTGCATTGCGCGGGGTTGGGCTAGATGACCCTCGAGCTCCCTCCAGCTCTACCATTCGGCGATGAGCAGGCTTCTTCCTTCAGCGGGTCCCCTCCGAGCGGAACTCCGTTGCAGGCCGCCCGCACTCATCTGTAGCGGGTCAGTGCTGCATTTCAGGGAATGGTGGGCCCTTTCAAGTTTTCTACCTGCCTCGATTCTGCAATGCCAGTGGAACCCCTCCTTGCCACCTCTCTCCTTCCGGACGGAGAGAAAGGCTGCAGCTGAAAGCGAAAAGGCTGACGCTCCTCGCGAAGCCCCGGCTCGGCTCCGAATCGGCCCCGCGGAGAGAGGCCGGAGCCGGGGGTCGCTGAGCGGCGGCGGCGCCCAGGTTTCGAGGCCCCTTTCCGGCGCCCCGCGGCTCCGGCCGGGAGAAAGGGGAGCCCAGAAAGGGGCGCGCGGGTCTCCGGCGGGCCGCCGTCTCTATACATATATATAGACTAGAGGATCCTTTTGCTGCAATGCGAATTTGTCTCGAGTCCTTCCGAAGGCGGCGGCGGCGGCGGCGGGAAGCCTGGAGGAGGCGCGCGGGGGGCGGCGGCTTGGCTGGCTCGCTTCCCCGCCCGGCCATTTCCATAACAACCAAGCGCAGCCCAAACGCCGCGCCTGAGGCGAGCCGAGTCCTCGGGCTGCAAAGTTCCTTCTGGGCTGCGAAAGAGCCGCCAAGCGAGCGCGGGGGGGGGGGGATATAGAGGCGAAGGCGGAGCTGGGGAGGCGGGGGCAGCTGGCCTGTCGCGGCTCTGCCCGCTTTCTGGTCGGGCGGCGGGAGGGGAGGCTGCCGAAAAGGGGCCGGGAGGGAGAGCGGAAAGGCGGCGCCGAGGAGGAGGAGGAGGAGAAGCAGCGGCGGCAGCAGCAGGAAGTGGGCGCGCGAGGCGGCAGCGGAGGAGCCGGCGAAGAGAAAGCAAAAGCCGGCCGGGCTGCTGCTCCTGCCGCCGGCGCCGCGCCATGGCCCGCGAGAACGGCGAGGACGGCTCCTCGTGGAAGAAGCCAGCCGACGACATCAGCAAGATCTTCGAGTTCAAGGAGACCCTGGGCACGTAAGTCCGGGCGGGCGAGGGGGCTCCGGCCCGGGCCGCGGCGAAAGGGGGAGCGGGGGCCGGAGAGACGCGCAGCTCCCCGCCTTGGGACCAGGAGAGCGCGCCCTTCGCCTCCCTCCTCGCTCCCCGTCGATGTGGAGCGGGAATGCCAGGTTCGCCTGGGACCCCCGTCCAGGAGCCCCGGGGCCCCTTCGGGCCGGGCCGGCAGGCAGAGCTCGCTCCCGCCCGCCAGGCGCCGGGGCTCAGCGGAGAAGTCCGGGCTGAGCGCGAGAGAGCAAGGGGACGGGGTGCTGCTGGGCGTGCGGACAGGGCACATGGGCTGCGGCATTTGGGGGCCGTGCTTCAGTTTCCAGAGGGCGCCGTGGACATAATTTGACACTTGGGCAGATCCCGCGCTTGCATGGCCGGGCATCCCTGGAGGCTGCTGCATTATAGCCGTGCGAGAGGGAACTTGGGCTGGGCAGCTCTCCCTGCCAGAGGGCATGAAGCAGTGCAGTGCAGTATTTTAGTGTTCACATTTGCAAATGCCAGTATGTGAGAAGGCAGGTGTGCTGGTGAAAGTGTGCGCGCATGTGTACTCTGCTATTGAGATTTTTAAGGTCTTATGAATCCTTGAAAAGGCGCTGTTCAAATATGCCGTGCTTTTGCATTGCGTAGATCGCAAGCTACTTTGAAACAGTGGCGATGATAACTGCCCTTTTCTTTTGGGGGCAAAATGCATGCTGTCATATAGGAATCAGGAGAGTCAGCTGTACATATTAATAGCAATGGAATTTAAAAGGACAGCGTAAATATGGTTTGACTTTTATGCTTTCTTCTAAAGCTGACTGCAGAGTCTATTCATAGAAAGAAGAGCAGAATAATCAGAGTGGATTGGCTGTGGGGTTTTCCCAGTGCATTGGTGTAGCTTAACTGTTGTTGCTAGAAGAGTATGCCCCCCCCCTCTTTATTTATAGTGCTTGGATACACAGATCAGCAAAACAGATTTTTTTTAAAAAATTTTTTTGTCTGAATCAACATACTCAAATAGTTTAAAGGAACAAGGTGTGATAGGAAAATAGTTTTCAGTTTAGCAGTTGTTTTTTAAATAAGATGTTCTAGGTGCAGATGGCTGTGTATTGTAGGAAAGGTCAATAGACGGACTGCTATGTAGTTGTTGATTTTAGGTTTGTATGCACATCTGGCTCTGCTGTAAGCGCAGCTGCATTTTTAATGCTATGCCTCTTTAGGATAGCTTAGGTGATAATTATTATGGCAGTATTAACTTGCACTACACTTGCTGCACCCTGCCCGTACAATAAAAACCTCACGCTAGCATTGTCATGACATTTATGTTTCGCTGTGTTTCATGGGGGAAGTTTGTTGAAAATGTTACTATCCTGATTTTCTGAACGCGAGTGCAGCAATCGGACATTTAACATGGAGGTGGTTTATGCAGGTTGGTATTGATCAGGCATTCATAGTAGGTAGCAAAATTTCACTTTATGTGTGTGCTGCTCTATGGATATTTGCACTATTTTTTGTCCCTGGGTGTTTGCTAATAACTTGTACTATCAAGACTTTGTATAATAAAAACAAGCCTTTTCTTGTCATGTAATAATTAATATTAGCTAAACTGTGTTGGAGAGCATAGAGTCATCATAAGAGACTCATTTAAGAAGCAGTATAGCGATTATAAAATTTTACCTCTATGCCTGTTTAGAAATGCACTCTGCACGAGTTTGGATGCTTGAGATGGTCTAAAAGGTATTTGACTTTGGGGACAATTCCAGCGCTGCCACTGACTAGAATGCCTATCAGTAAATACTGCATAGTGGCGTCATCTTGCCCTGAAGGTGATGCATTGATTCAAATGGTTTCCTGTAGCTTGTGCCAAAGAAAATAATTACGTTTACTACTAGATCACTTGTGCCATTAACCTTTAATTGGTTAGTGTTGTAATTTATGATCTATGACCACAAAGCTATATTTAACTATATAGTTGTCAACTTGGAGGTTTTGTGGTTTTCTTTATTATAAAACACCTGGACTTAATTTTATGCATGAAAGTTAGGACCAGGAAAAGTTTGGTTAAGAATACAACAGGGTTGCCAACATATTCGGCAATTTCTATTTTAAGCCATTTCATTATGCCCTGGGTGGTGTGCGCTCGTAAAACCCCCAAAAACCAAATTCTGCTCAACACAATCTAACTGCTGTATCAAGGAAAACTGGATTCTGTGACTAGTATAACTTACGCAATTTAAACTTAATTTATTTTACATGGAATAATGTATTCTGCAATTCCTCCTATTTTGCCTGTTGCACTCTGACTTGGTTTGCCACAGGAAGGAATAAGGAGGTCTTCAGGGAACTGGAATCCTTCCCTGCCATTGGAAGACTTATTCATCCATCCAGCTGGCTTATGAGATTTTACCACACTTTTCCTACATGCTTTCAAATATATGCTCACTACTATGAAGGTTAGAGACTGGTTTTTAAAATGAGAACTGTGACTCTCAGGTTAGATTCTGCACCTAACAAACCCTGTACCTTGGTTGTGCTCCTTGGAATTGTGACACATACACAGCACATCACATTACAATTAAGGCTGCAATCCTAAACTCTTACCTAGAAGTTGTTGTTGTTGTTGTTTAGTCGTTTAGTTGTGTCCGACTCTTCGTGACCCCCTGGACCAGAGCACGCCAGGCACTTCTGTCTTCCACTGCCTCCCACAGTTTGGTCAGACTCATGTTTGTAGCTTTGAGAACACTGTCCAACCACCTCATCCTCTGCCATCCCCTTCTCCTTGTGCCCTCCATCTTTCCCAACATCAGGGTCTTTTCCAGGGAGTCTTCTCTTCTCATGAGGTGGCCAAAGTATTAGAGCCTCAGCTTCAGGATCTGTCCTTCCAGTGAGCGCTCAGGGCTGATTTCCTTCAGAATGGATAGGTTTGATCTTCTTGCAGTCCATGGGACTCTCAAGAGTCTCCTCCAGCACCATAATTCAAAAGCATCAATTCTTCGGCGATCAGCCTTCTTTATGGTCCAGCTCTCACTTCCATACATCACTACTGGGAAAACCATGGTTTTTACTATACGGACCTTTGTTGGCAAGGTGATATCTCTGCTTTTTAAGATGCTGTCCAGGTTTGTCATTGCTTTTCTCCCAAGAAGCAGGCGTCTTTTAATTTTGTGGCTGCTGTCACCATCTGCAGTGATCATGGAGCCCAAGAAAGTAAAATCTCTCACTGCCTCCATTTGTTCCCCTTCTATTTGCCAGGAGGTGATGGGACCAGTGGCCCTGATCTTCGTTTTTGTGATGTTGAGCTTCAAACCATATTTTGTGCTCTCCTCTTTCACCCTCATTAAAAGGTTCTTTAATTCCTCCTCACTTTCTGCCATCAAGGTTGTGTCATCTGCATATCTGAGGTTGTTGATATTTCTTCCCGCAATCTTAATTCTGGCTTGGAATTCATCCAGCCCAGCCCTGCACAGCATAGCTCATAGCTTCTCTGAGTTATTCAAGCCCCTTCGCCACGGCAAGGCAGTGATCCATGAAGGGGCTTACCTAGAAGTATGCCCCATTTAATTCTGTGGGATTTACTTCTGAGTAGACATGGTTGGGATTGCACTGTAAGATAGCAATCCCATGCATATTCAGCCCAGATATGCTTCTGAATAAATATGCATAGCTCTAAAAGCCTGGCTTAGCATTATGGTCCAAACCAGAAGTTGTGGTTTGTTTCATGCCAGACAAACCATGATGATAAGTCAAGGTTTGTTCTTGGCTTGTTAGTAACAGTTTGTTTGAACAAAGCAAACCATGATCCCCTGGTTGGATGTAATACTAACCTAGGATTGTGGCTAATTTCCTTTGCATGCTAGCAGAGAGCAGCCAAACTGCCCAGACAGGTAGGTGAACGGTAAATCATTAATGATAGCATACCATGGCATGAGAAGCGAGCCATTGTCTACCTTTCCCATCTTCATTAATTTTCCAAAATGCTTATGGAATGGGTCAAGTCTGTGTTCTTTTGTTCATGTAGTCCTGAGTCATAAGCAGTGTAAAGCTGGATTGATTTACAGTCAGCTGGAATGGTGACTTCATTCTTATGCAGTCGTATAAGCTACATGGAAAATATTGAATTCCTTGGAGCAGCGACGGAGGAAGCCACTCGGGCACCTAGGGTGGCACGCCATAGGGATGGGGCGAGCCTCCGGAGTCTGCCTGCCTCCTCCCACTCAGCCGCCCTACAGCTGGGGGGGGAGGCAGTGGGCAGACAGTTTGGGCAGCGCAGAGCCACCCAAGCCACCGTGTCTCCCAGGAGAGACATTGCAGGCCCCGTAGTGAGTGCCGCCTGGCATTTTGTCACACCCACAGTGGTGACACCCGGGGCGGACCGCCCCCACCGCCCCCCTTGCCCCACCCCTGCCTTGGAGACCTGAACACTTACGTTCTGCTTCCAATTCTCCTGGCTCATATAGAGGAGATAGATAGGCTTTTAAGTGAAAAATAACATGTGTAAGGCCTAGGAGAATGGTTTGATTGAATGCTTTTCAACTGATGGTACTCGTAAAACCTGACATACTTTGAAGTACCACTGGCTGAAAAGCACTGGTCACGGGAGCTGCTGTAGACATTGTGAGGAAAATGAGCCATGAATGAGTGAGTGAGGCTGAAATTTCATTGGCTTTTGCTGTTCTAAAAGGCCCTTAGGCTACCAAGACATGCATTTGTGCACAGTGTGCAGCTTGGGCCTGAATGAGAGTATGAGTGCGCCAGAAGCAGCAAAGGTTCCCTGATGTTTCTCCCCACACAACCACTTGAAGCTGGATCTTTTACATCAGGGATGGGGAACCTGTTGTTAAAATACAGCTACAATAATCCATGACCATCGGCCATGCTGGCTGGAGTCAAACAACATCTGGATTGCTACAAGTCTTTCAGTTCTGGGGTCTATTTTTGCTTAGAAAAGTAAGTGCTATTTAATTCAGAGGTTTAGTCCCAAGTAAATATGC